GATTGTCTGCCCTTTCTTTCCCATGCCCTTCTCATCCCTTTCTATTTGTGCGGTCATGGTTAAGCCACGTCAACATTTTATATTCATATTGCTTTTTGTTTTATTATCTCTATTAAAAAATTAATATAAAATATTGACGTGGCTTAACCGTGATCCTACAAATAGAAGAAGATGAGAAGGATATGGGAAAAAAATGGCAGACAATCTGCTCTTTTAAACTTTGGTACTTTGGCAGAAGAAAGCAAAAGAGTTAAATAAATTATTGAACCATGAAGGAGGTTGAGATTTGTTTTTATCTACACGAGCAATTGAAAAGTCAAAAAGCATGAGCTAACAAAAATGGGTCGTCATCACCAAGTTAGTTGGGTGACTTTTTCTTATTAATTTTGGAAGATGGTACTAAATTCATATTTTCTATCTTGTTGATCAAAAGGAAAAACTTATATGCCTCGGTTGAAAGTACATTTAAAATTGTTGAAAACATTTTTAGTAAAAATATTTTTAAAATCAATTTTTTGTAAGAAAAATTTCAAATAATTTTAGGCCCAAAAGTATTTTTTTTACAAGTGTTTTCTATTATTTCAAAAATACTTCCAAACGAGCTCATAGTTAATTATAAACATAAATAGTTTTTTAAAATAATGTATGATCATTATCATCTATTCATACAAAACACACAGAGTAAGGTAGCCAACCAAGATATACACAGTTGAATGATCCATTTCTTGTGGGAAAGAATCATTTTCACACCATTCTTAGTTCCATGGTTCGATTTCAGTCGTTACTCTTTGATGGATATTTACATATACAATCAAACTATTTAGACACAAAATTAATTTACTTGATAAGATACTCTCTTAAATAAGACATGTAATGTGTCCAATTCTTGATCAAAATTAGGCTTTTAATATTCAAAGGCCGAGTGGCGTCACAAGATTTAATTATGCATGCATGTCATTTTCCTCATGAATTTTTCTTTTAACAAGAAATGATAGTAATTTTCTATTAACGAACGATAGCAAATATTTAGGTTGTCGCATGGATACAATTTCTAGTCACAAGACTCACAAATATATGATTTGGAGGTAGTTCACACAAACGAGCAATAATGCTAATCCTTTATTGGATACCACAAGCGTGTGAACTAGCACAAGCACAATCAGTACAAATCTGCCACAAAGACGGCAGGTGCAACATACTTAATTATACCAGTGCACCCATAATGTCACTGTCATATAAACGAGACCACATTAAATTATCACTAACAAACTAGGCCACATCAAAACCACCGCTACCAAAGTTTATAATCTTATCAATTAAATGTCTTTATTAAATCTTTTGACAACAGAAAAGAAAGCGTCATAATTAAGAAATTGATTTAATAACAGTGAGATATTAACGAGGCAGACCTTGCGTAGTTGCATTATAAATATGGAAGAAAACATTCGACGGTAATCCTATCGACTAAAAAAATTAAGCACGGAATATCTCAACAAAAAATAAAAAAAATAAAAAAAAGCACGGACTGCGTTTTATTCAACCTAGAAAATAATAAACTGTGTTCTTTTGTCAACCGTGAAGTCGTAACCAAGTTATTAATCACGCTTGGATCAGAGGGTTCACATTTCATGATGCTTGTGTTGATATCGTTTGTGTTTCCTAAACAAATTTGGACGGAGAACTTAAGGTCCGTCGAAACACGTTTACTTGGAATGATTTGATCAAAGTTTAGCAGAGCGAGAAATTTTTTAACTACGTGATCAGTTAGTCTTACGATGTTTTATCTCTAATAAGTATAAAATTTCTTAAATTGACTTGGACGTTATAGAAAGATGAAAGTGATATATTTATACACTCATAACTCAATTTTACTTTACACAGAACTTTGTTAATTGTTTGTTATTGATCTTCTTCGATTCATTTGATTCGAAACTGAAAATTAAAAGAGGTGTACAAAAAATAAAAATAAGTGCATGAATAGCACTATCTTACTTATATTACTAGGTCGAGGATCATTGTGTCCCAAACTTGATTAGAGGACTTGTCAAACTTAGCCTTAGTTTAGTACTAAGGTGATTCTGAAAAAAAGTGGCTATTAAAAAAAACTGGGAGTTTTTTTATGTTTGGTAAACATTCAGCTTTAGTTTTTTTTCACAGTTTTTGGTGAAAAAAACCCAAAAACACAAAGCTGCAAAACCCAGCTTTGAAAAACCAGTTTTTTTTTTACATCTGTTTTACATAAAAGTTTATCAAACACTATAATATTGTTTTTTTTTCAAAAGCACATTTACAAAAAAGTTTATCAAACACTCTGCTGCTTTATTTCACAGCTGCTTATTCTCATAGCACAGCAGAAACAATTTTTTTTTTAAAGTACAACAATATCAAACCAGCCCTAATGTGAGATTAGTGCTTTTGAAATATTTAGTGTAATCAAAACACAAAGTGGTACTTTACATGTCATTATCTAATTAAAGATTTTTTTTTAATTATCTCCTTAATTGAATAATAATATATGATATTTCACTCATGTGCCACATATCTTGAAAAATCTGTCGGGCCTTATTGTATGAAAGGGGGGGCGTGTATAATTGGTCACGTGACAATAGGGGAAGAAACACGTGTATTCTGAGTCGGCAAATGTTTATAGCTGGCAATGTTGACTCTAATAGGGGCATTTAAGTAAATTCCATAGCAGAAGTATAGTCGCGAATCGCGATTGATTCCATGCTTCAACTGTAGGGTAACTGTTGAGGTTAGAAACCAAAGGAAAAAAACAAAGTTACGAAAACACCCCCCCTGAAGTTTTAGCCAAAGACGGGACCTTTTTGTGTCGTTAAGTTGAAAAGCAGATAAATGATGACTTTCTCCAATAAATACAGAGATGCTAACTGGATAGATAATTTCAGTGACCAAGCAATTAACTTGGATAGAGTTTGCACAAAAACACAAGAAGAGTAAAATCCTTAAAGCAAATATGTCACAAAGTATTATATACGCAACAAATCCGAATCGATGTTTAGGGCATCTATACTCTAATGAGAAAATAAAAATTTGTGATAGAAAAATCTTATTTATGTTTCTGATAGATGTAAATGAAGCTATACTCCAATGAGAATAATGGAAATTTGAGATCCCATTTAATTTTGTCTCTTTGATTAGCGGGACTCATCACCAAAATATGTAAAAAAAGAAATAAATTTAAGTTTATATTTACATTTTTCGACGAAGATGATAATTTATATTTCACCATTGGATAATTTTCCAGCAAAGAAAAAAATTATAAAATGTCCATTTCAAAGTACTTTTGAGAGATGCCCTTGAGAAGAAAACTTACTTACCGTTATAATTGTTTAGTAATCTGAAATAATTGTATACCGTTATGCATTTTAGAATCCAATTATGTAAATAATCATTCAATATTATGTGCTAAAATCTAGTTATGTAAAGATATGTGATTAACTCGAGATACAATAGTTATAACATTCCAAATTGCGAATAATCTGGTAGTTCTCGAAACAAAGAAAGAAAAAAGAAAATAAAAACTAACGAAAAGTTCTCAAAAACTTTAGTTTTTAATCAAAAGGACAATATAAATTGTAAGTGAATAGTACCAGAAGTGACTTTTCAAGGTAAAAAATGTCATTCACGTTAAAAGTGAACAGTACTAGGAGTGTTTGATTAAGATTCCAAAAAAAAAAACACTTTTGAAAACAAAATGTGAGAAGGGTGTAATAGTAATTTCATCAGGTGTATTACAATTGTTATTTTTCTTTTTTGGCATGAAAATGCGTATTAATGTGTTGTGAGTGTAGGATTTGGTGGTGAAAGTCTCTCTCTCTCTCTCTCTCTCTCTCTCTCTCTCTCTTCGCTCGAAGTCTTGAAGTCTTGAATTCTCAAAGACACTCCACCAGTTGAGCACCCAAAAACCTCGTAAACCCTTTTTCTTCCATTTCATTTCTTTACCGAGTGACGCGAGCGAGTTAAGAAATGGCGACTCAGTTACCGGACGATTTCAAGTGCCCAATTTCCCTCGAAATAATGTCCGACCCGGTTATACTCTCCTTACGTCACACCTTAGATAGGCACTCCATCTAATCTAAGTGTTGGACAAAAGAATTTTTCCTGCACGAAAGTATATGCTCTTTTGTTTTATTAGAAATTGAATTAGTTAATTACTTGAAATATAGTTTTTTTATTTTATTTTATAATATTTTCCGAGTTTCTGGAGGCATCGACAAAGTCAAATATCCCTAACGGGGATGTGGATACCTCATCGTTTGGCCATAACCCATAAGCACCTGACTTTTCCTGCAATTATGTTTAAGCACATTGCACTCTATCTTTAAAATAATAACAATAATAATACATCACTGTATATTTTTAAGTTAAGGGTGGAGCTATCCACCTACCTTTTTTTTATCTTTGACGTATATTTCTTAATTTTTAATCGTCGGATTATATGAATTAAAAATGATGAAAATACATAAGGTAATAAAAGATGTGTAAAAAGTAAAAATAAAAAATGTGTGGATAGCAAATTAACAACATCCTAAATTAATATCAACCTTACTTAGTTATTACACCCAATAATCAAGTATAGGATGGATTTGTGCTAGAATTCTTGATATTGTCAAGGTCAAGCCATGTATTTGGATCAATATGTTTTCAATCTAGAAAAAAATTATGTTGAAAATGAAAATTTTGAGTGAAATATATTGATTTTTCCTATAGTATAAATACGTGTTAAGTACGATGACCTATGAATGACATATGACTTACATTATGAGGATTGTATTTCCACATGAGTGTGTTAGGTATCTATTTATATATACATATATTTAATATTTCTAATAATACAAATCAAAAAAATTATATATATACATATATTAAATAAAAACATAACTGCTCCAACATGTATGCCTGGAAGTTGCGGGTAAGTTCACGTTGCATCGACTGGAAATCGAGGGCGCGTTTGCCGTTGCATCGACAACTGGAAGTCAAGCGTATGCCCTTAAATTAGCGTTACTGAAACTCAATCAAAGAAAAAGAAAATCCAACCTTTCCGGCTTTTTGTTTCTGCATGTCGAAAGAAGCAGCCATTTTAGCACTTAAACTCCTCCATGAGAAAGCTAACAATGAATTCTACTAAATTCTTTTTTGTCAGTACTGTATTGTTCCTCTTCCTTGTGATTCTTCCCTCTTCCATTTCGGTTACCCTAGACGCCATTACACCAAACCAACCCCTAAGAGAGGGCGACGTTCTTCTCTCCACCACTGAATTCTTTGCACTAGGGTTTTTTAAGCCAGGCAATTCTCATAACCGTTACATCGGAGTTTGGTACAACAAAATTCCAATCAAAACCATTGTCTGGATTGCAAACAGAGAAAACCCCATAGTTCCTACTGCTGGAACTGGACTTCTAGCCATTCATGCAGATCATGGTGGCCTTGTTATGTATGGGGAGGACCAAAATACCCCTTTCTGGTCCACTAATCTCACCGTCTCTTCTCCAAACAATTCCGTGATAGCCAAGCTTTGGGATACGGGAAATCTTGTTGTAGTTGAAATTAATGGCGGTAGTAGTGAAAAGGTGTTGTGGCAAGGTTTTGATTATCCCACAAATACGATGCTTCCTTTTATGAAACTTGGGCTGGACAGGCGATCCGGGTTGAACTGGTTCCTCACATCTTGGAAGTCCCAAGATGACCCGGGAATGGGCAACTGCTCGTACCGGATAGAGACAAGTGAGAGTCCACAGGGGTTCTTATACATGGGTCAGACTCCATTGTGGCGGACTGGACCTTGGATCGGTGAAAGATGGTCCGGGGTGCCTCAAATTAAAAAAACTTTCTACTCCAACGTTACTTTTGTGAACACTCAAGATGAGGTATCCATCATGGATGGTACTGTTTATGAATCAATCTTCTTTAAAATGGTGATCAATGAATCAGGAAACATTGAACGGTCCGCATGGCATGATAATAAATGGGTCCCGTATTGGTCGCCGGATCGGCAGTGTGATTTTTACGGGAAGTGTGGTCCGAATAGCATTTGTTACCCAAACCCAAACTTTGCGGATAAATTTGAGTGCAAATGCCTACCTGGATTCGAACCCAAGTTGCAACATGAGTGGTATTTGGGAGATTGGTCAGGCGGGTGCGTGAGGCAAAAAGGATCATCCGTTTGCCAAAACGGGGAAGGGTTCTTGAAGTTGGAAAGTGTGAAGGTGCCGGACACTTCTACGGCACGTGTGAACATGAGTAGGAGTGGGGAAGCATGTAAAGAAGAATGCCTGAGAAATTGTTCTTGCACGGCATACGCAAATGCAGATGAAAGGCAGGGAGGGAGTGGCTGTATAACATGGCATGGCGACTTGATTGACACGAGGACCTTTTTGTATACGGGTCAAGATTTGTATGTGCGAGTTGATGCAAATGTTTCAGGTATATTTCCATTATCAATTTATCTTCTTTCTTCTCTTTTCCTTATCAATAATTCCTCTTATAACGCCGAGGTTCCATGAAAAAAAAGATCTTCTTTCTTTATGTCATTAACAAATTTGAGGAATTATTATTTAGTTTGGTAGTTGTACGTTTGTTATCATTCTAAAAAAAATCATTTGGCACTGGTCTCTTGCCAAATAATAAAAGTGAAATTGTTTCGTCAAGAGTGTAAGATGACTTTTTTAGAGTACTAATTTTTTTTATAAAAAATTCAGAAATATCTATAAATTAATACTAAAAATTTAGTTCTTATGTTCATTGGAGCTTTTTACAGGGTTTTTTTTTTCCCGAATTTTTACAAGGTTTTTTAAACATGGAAATAAATGCGTGTATATCTGCAGCTCAATACGCAAAGAAGTCAAACAGTTCTTTTGGCAAGAAGAGGAAGCTGGAAGTTTCAGTAGCATGTGGTCTATTGTTCTTCCTTTTGTTTTCCCTTGCATGTTGGTTGGTAAAGAGGAAGAGAAAAGGTAAACAAATTTCCTTTTACTAGGTTGCCCTCTAATCATTCACAATTATGTAACTGGATATTGGTTTTAATTATTTAAGAACACAATATTATTTATTTATGTACTTTTATCACAGGTAAGAGAAGTCAGGATAAACTTTTCAATGTGACCATAGCATCAACCTCCTGGGAAGATTCTTCTGCTAGAACAAATATTGATGAAAGTGGAATAAACTCTGAATTACCATTCTTTGAACTAAGTACCATAGTTAAAGCCACACATAATTTCGCTTCCAACAACAAGCTTGGAACAGGTGGTTTCGGCTCCGTTTATAAGGTGCGTAGTTGCCCTGAGATAATGTCTCAAATCATAAATCAGACTTTGAATAGACATTTTTTAGATTTATTTTTTAGCCATCTGCACTCCAAATCAATTATTTTATTATTTTTTCCTCTACTCACCCTTGTAGTTAGGCCTGGCAAACGGGTCGTGTCTGTCGTGTTCTTGTCGTTTTCGTGTAGCACCTGTTATCTTAACGGGTCGTGTTGTGTCATACATGTTATCTTAACAGGTCCTTAACAAGTCGGGTCGGGTAAAGTGACCCGACCCGTTAAGAAAAATATATTTTTTTTCTTAAATTTGCACATACCACACTTTGCCACATAAATATTACTTCAAAACATTAAAACACATAATTTAATATATATATATATAATTATTTTAGTTTTTAGGGGTATAAAATTGTTAAATTAATATATATATATATATATATATACATATAATTATTATAGTTTATTCATACTTTCATTAAGTATAACATAAGATTTTGTGGTATCCACTAATGTAATTTTTTAAATTGAAGATCGAATTCATTCATTGTATTCATATAGAGTCAAGGAGTGTAACTGTAAAAAATCATCAAAATCGGAGTTAAAATAACCGTTAAATAGTGATTTTTCGTTTTATAATCGTCGAAAAGTTTTGTCTCGTTACTTGATCTCTGAATGTTTGTTCTTTGCAATTTTTGGCGTATGCGATCTCGAAGTATATACAAACATGTATGACAGTTGGATTGTTGAAACTAGTTTCGTATAATGCGTATCCTATCAAAACAATAGATTCACTAACACTTAGTTTATTCTTACTTTCATTAAGTATAACATAAGATTTTGTGGTATCCACTAGTATAAATATTTTAAATTGAAGATTGAATTCATTCATTATATTCATATAGGGTCAAGGAGTGTAGCTGTAAAAAATCATCAAAATCGGAGTTAAAATAACCGTTAAATCGTGATTTTTCTTTTTATAACCGTTGAAAGGTTTTGTCCCATTACTTGATCTCTATATGTTTGTTTTTTGTAATTTTTGGTGTATACGATCTCGAAGTATATACAAATATGTTTGACGGTTGGATCGTTGAAACTAGTTTCGTAGAATGCATATCCCATCAAAACAATAGATTCACTAACACTTAAGAGTTTATTCATACTTTCATTAAGTATAACATAAGATTTTGTGGTATCCACTAGTGTAAATATTTTAAATTGAAGATCAAATTCATTCATTGTATTCATATAGGGTCAAGGAGTGTAGCTGTAAAAAATCATCAAAAATGTGATTTTTCTTTTTATAACCGTTGAAAGGTTTTGTCCCGTTACTTGATCTTTATATGTTTGTTTTTTGCAATTTTTGGCATATGCGATCTCGAAGTATATACAAACAAGTTTGACGGTTGGATCGTTGAAACTAGTTTTGTAGAATGTGTATCCCATCAAAACAATAGATTCACTAACACTTAAGAGTTTATTCATACTTTCATTAAATATAACATAAGATTTTGTGGTATCCACTAGTGTAAATATTTTAAATTGAAGATCGAATTCATTCATTGTATTCATATAGGGTCAAGGAGTGTAGCTGTAAAAAAATCATCAAAATCGGAGTTAAAATAACCGTTAAATAATGATTTTTCGTTTTATAACTGTTGAAAAGTTTTGTTCTGTTACTTAATCTCTGAATGTTTGTTTTTTGCAATTTTTGGCGTATGCGATCTTGAAGTATATACAAACATGTTTGACGGTTTGATCGTTGAAACTAGTTTCGTAGGATGCGTATCCCTTCAAAACAATAGATTCACTAACACTTAAGAGTTTATTCATACTTTCATTAAGTATAACATAAGATTTTGTGGTATCCACTATTGTAAATATTTTAAATTGAAGATCGAATTCATTCATTATATTCATATAGGGTCAAGGAGTGTAGCTGTAAAAAATCATCAAAATCGGAATTAAAATAACCGTTAAATTGTGATTTTTAGTTTTATAACTATCGAAAAGTTTTGTTCAGTTACTTGATATCTGAATGTTTGTTTTTTGCGATTTTTTAATGGTGCGATCTAGAAGCATATACAAATAAGTTTGACGGTTGGATCGTTGAAATTAGTTTTGTATAATTCATATCCCATCAAGTTCAATGGTATATATATATATATATATATATATATATATATATATATTAAGTAGATTTAATTCTATTTATTTTGTACGTATAATTATTATAGTTTTTTGGGGTATAAAATTTAATTTAAAATTATATATATATATAATTATTATAGTTAATATTTTGGGGGTATAATTATTATAGGCTTTTTATATTAGCACCCCACAAAATGTTGAATGCACCCCATATTAAAATTTAATATTAAATGACTTATTTACTCCACTATGCAATGACAATTTTGACCTTATTAGGTTTTAAAAAAAATAAAAATTTATAAATACACCTCAAATCACTTTTAGCATATTATTTATTTTCTCAACTATCAAAACCCTTTCATCTTCCATTGTTGAATAAAACTCTAACCAATGAAACTACAAACATGTTGATTGAGAAAAATTGTTTTTGACGAATGGAATACAAAATCGATGTTTCTGAAGCTTTACATGAGATAAGACTTCACATTTTTCATTGTTTTAGTGATTTCGATGACATCAATAATTATTTAATCTTGCGTTTGCCGCATTATTTAAACTTCTATATATTCATATTCATCTTTTAGGGTTCATATTAATCTTGCGAACCTAGTAACATGAGTCGTATTAGTGCTAGAGTCATATACTACTTTTACAAATTGACGATAGCCATTCTCCACATGAACTCCTACTCTCAATCTTTAGCTGTTTGATTGACGTACATTTCTCATTGTGAGTTTTTCTTTCTTTTTTCTTCTTCTTTTCTTGTCACTGGGAGATGATCAGTGGAAAATGAGGAGAGACATGGCCTATATTTAAAGAAATCTGAGACCGATTCAGTTTTGATTTATTAATTAACTTCTACACCTGGATCATTAGCAGAGAGAGGGTCTTTATTTATTTTGTTCAAGACTAAGTCTAAAGACTTGTGAAATATATATAGAAGCATTCTTTGTTAGCAGTAACGAGAGAGTCTTTTTTTTTTCTTTTTTTTTACTCGAAAAGACTCAGCACCACGGGTCATTTTTAAGGCTTTTTAGAAGTTGAATAAGATGATTTCAAACTATACTAAGATGATTTCAAATCATCATTTTGAAATCATTCGGTAAACTAAACGTTCAGATGATTTGAAATATTTTGACAAATTAAACGTTCAAATGGTTAGATTCAATCCCTGAAAATTAAAAATGAGTGTTATAAGATTTGAGAAATGTGGGGTGTAAAGAAAATGTGGGGTGTATGTACAAAATATAAGATGTATATTGAGAATGTGGGGTGTGGGGGTATTATGGGAAAGTATGTGGGGTGTATTTAGATAATTTTTAAGTGAAAAAGCAAATATGGGGTGTATTAAGTATGTGGGGTTTATTCAACAATTTGTGGGGTGTTAATATAATTAGCCTTATTATAGTGTATATAATTATTATAATTATTATAGTTAATTTAATATATATATATAATTATAGTATTTTTTAGGGTTATAAAATTATTAAATTAATATTCTGCTTATCGTGTATCGTGTTACCCACGTATATACCCGAACCAACCAGTTATCTTAACAGGTGATTATCGGGTTACCCGATAACGACCCGATTCGTTATCGTGTCGACCCGAACACCTGTTAATTTCGTGTTGTGTTGTGTCGAGTTATTGGGTCGTGTCAGGAATTGCCAGGCCTACTTGTAGTTTAAACAAAAGAACATAATGAATAAATCTTGCAGAGAAAGAAATAGAATCAAGAAGAGAGAGGGAGCAAGATTTATAGAGAGAGAGAGAGAAAGAGAATCAAGAAGAGAGAGGGAGCAAGATTTATAGAGAGAGAGAGAGAGAGAGAGAGAGAGAGATTTTAGACAGAAAAAGTGAATCTTTGTTAATGGTTTCAGAAAAAATACAAGGTAGTGATCCATAAGGATATATATCCAAACTATATTGCTTACAAGCTAAGCTAACATTTAGCTCACAGGTTATTGACACTTGCAAACAATATTACAGTTAACAAAAATCAAGAGACCCGTCCAATAAAGACTGGAAAGGCTGACTCAAAAATATATTTCATTAAAATTCATACCCAATCAATAATCGATAAGTGATGGGAACTATCTTGTTTCGACTTTTCACAATTATCCCACACGGTGATGCGGGTTTTGAAATTGTATAAAACACATAGAAAGTTTTAAATCTATATATGATAAGCCATACTACTTATATACATGTGGAAATCTATTCACAAACCTATTCCTAAGCCATACTAATTATATATAAGTGATGGTTGCATGGTATTGATCTTCTACACAAAAAAAGCAAACGTTTTCCACCCTAGGAAATTGTTAAGCACCTATCAAACTAATTAATTGGAAACAGTATGGTGCTTCCCAATCTAAAGAGTCAATGACACTAAAGCAGCAGATTAGTGAATAGATTAGCGAATAGTTAATTATGATTTGTTTTGGGTCCAAAGAAACCTTGTTAGGTGATGGTGAATCAATATGAAAGTAAACAATGCCGATTTCAAAATGGATACTAAAGAGCTATTCATCCGCATAAGTAAATACATACCAACAGAAAAGTGGGCTAATCCAACCAATCTCACCAATGGACATTGTCACCCGAGCAATTCGGACTAAATCTTTGATGAAACAAAAAAATGCTGAGGAAAATGATCATTACCCAAAATTCCATTCTGAACAAATATATGGACCAATCTGAAGTAAGACGAAGAATTATGACATGAAAAACTTAATAAAACCCAATTTGAACGAAGAACTCAATCTGAAGCAGATTTTCACATGCAATAGTTCTAGAAGATGCCTAAGATGACAAGGAGTCATTTGAGACCATCAACTCAACCCCATTCGAACGCAATCCCAAAATCAAAAAGGACAAAATGGGCAAACAAAATCAAAGCATTTTTATGTACATGCATTGAGTTTTACTCCTTTGTTAATGTATAAATGCAATTTCAAGGGGAGGATATATATATAGAGCTACGATTATGTTGATAATTTTCTTGAAAGGTAAGTGCACTATAAGTTGAATTTGGATTATAAATTCAGGGTGTGCTTGATAATGGAAAGGAGATAGCAGTGAAAAGACTAGCCAAGAATTCTGGCCAAGGAATTGGAGAGTTTAAGAATGAAGTTGTGTTGCTTTCAAAGCTCCAACACAGGAACCTTGTGAGGATCATGGGTTGCTGCGTTCAAGATGAAGAGAAGATGCTGATCTATGAATACTTGGCAAACAAAAGTCTTGACTTTTTCATTTTCGGTATGTCTTTCTTTTACTTTTGTTCTTCTTTTTATACAAGCAATATTGTGGAGGGGAAATCGAGCTCAGGACCTCGGGTGCAGGATTGAATGCTCTAAACTCAACTCGGTTACAAGCACCTTTCTTTTCACTTGTGTATCTAAAATTGTCGGTTAAAAACCTTGAACCAAGCAAGAATACAATCTAATTTACTTTGCTTACTTTTTTCCCATACGAAGCAAAAGAGGCGTTCTTGGATTGGACAAGACGCCTTGAGATAATATGTGGGATTGCTAGAGGGATTTTATATCTTCATCAGGATTCAAGATTAAGAATCATCCATAGAGATCTAAAGGCCAGCAATGTTTTGTTGGATTCTGCTATGAACCCCAAGATTTCAGATTTTGGTATGGCTAGGATATTTGGAGCTGAACAAATTGAAGCAAATACAAACCGTGTGGTTGGGACATAGTAAGTTTCATTCAAGACTAAAAGTACACCTGTTTTTTACAATTTTCATCCCTATTTCACAAGGCCACAAACGTGAGTACAACTTTTGTTGAATACTACAGAAAGAAGCTGTGATACTTAATCAATTTTATTTTGTTGCTTCAGCGGTTATATGTCACCAGAGTACGCAATGGAAGGATTTTTTTCAGTAAAGTCTGACGTATATAGCTTTGGCGTTTTACTACTAGAAATTGTTACTGGCAGAAAGAACACTAGCTACTACCACGATAGTTCTTACTCAAATTTAGTTGGACATGTAAGCATAACATTAAGACGTACCAAACTTCTCTCCGTCTGCTTTTATAACTTGATGATTAATTTGTAAATGGTTTTTAGGTTTGGGACTTATGGAAGGAAAGTAGAGCCTTGGAAATCATTGATTCATCGCTGGGAGAATCATACCATGTCAATGAAGTTCTAAGGTGTATTCACATTGCCCTCTTGTGCGTGCAAGAGCAAGCGAAGGATCGTCCACTCATGTCAGCAGTGGTTTCCATGTTGGGTAATGATGCAGCAATTCCTTCACCAAAGCAACCTGGATTTTTGTTGAAGAGTGGGGACCCATCAGCCAATACAAAAGGAGCTTCCTCTATAAATGACATGACCCATACAGAAGTAGAAGGTCGCTAAGGGGAGAACTAGACGAATACTCGGAAATACCATCATTGAATTTAGAGTACGATCACGTGATAAGTGAGATAAGAATAGATGATATACTCCGATTTCACTCAATAATTTGCCTTTTAATTAGGGATCTAAGTTCTATATCTACAACACTCATCATCTCTCTTGTTGTAAATACATGCTATAAATTGTGTGCCTTATAACTAGGGATCTAAGTTCTATATTTGCAATACTCATCATCTGTCTTGTTGTAAATACAAAATATAAATTAATTGCAACACTCGTCATCAGTTCGACGAGGCTACATAAAAGTACTTTCTAACCGCCATAGACATTTAGGAGGGCTGAGAACTTTGTGGCTCAAGGTTTTAGAAGCAGGCATACTCAGACACTAATCAAGCCACGTGTCAACTAACAGTCAAGACTCAAAAACAAAAGTCTAGAGCGGGACATGAAGCTGGTCTGGCCTGCTCGAAGTGACATGACTAATTAATCAAGGCCTAGCGGGACGCTCGGCACACATTGGACATTTGGATGTTATGATAATTTAGTGTTAGAAATGATAATTTAGAGCTTGAATATTGTTCACTATCACATGTGCTAGTATATGCTTCAAAAAATTTTAGAGGCAAAATATTGTTAAAAATTATGATGCTCTTATTTGTACGGTGATTTATACAAAACACTGTATTAATGGTGATATTTACATAAAACTATATCATAGTGATTAGCGAATAGTGATTTCTACATAAAATTATATTAAAAATATTTGAGATGGTAGTCAAATCTTATGCATAAACTCTGTTGTGATAGTGCAAAAGTTTTTACAGATTAGAAATAGTCCAAAATTGTTTGAGTGCGGTATCGGGCTCGAATTTTTTAACCTCACTCTTGCTCATCTCCCATAAGAATCAAGTCAAGCTTACCCGCAAGCTCGAAAAAATTAAATAAGCCAAATTTAAACATAATAGTATTCAGTTCGGCTTGACTAGTTTGCAGTCCTACATTTATTTAAAACACCCCTCTGAATTATTACCCAAAGACGGGACCTTTTTGTATCTTTAAGTTGAAAAGCTGAGTGAATTATGACTTTCTCCAATAAATCCAGAGATGATAATTGGATAGATAATTCCACTGACCAATCAATTAACTGTTGGAAAATATTAGTATTTTGGTTTATTTGAATGTTTGGTTTTATGGGTTTAGCCCGTTAGAATTAGGTTTGTTAGAGATTAGGGTTAATTTATTATAAATAGGGTGCTTTGTTATTCATTAGAGAACAAGTTAGCCACAATGTAGTCTCTTAGGGTTTTGTAGCCGTTTCGGCATTCTCGTTTGTTTAATAATATTCTTATTATTTGTTAGTCTTGTTCGTTGCGCACTCTGATATTCAACTTGGTATCAGAGCGGGTTCGATCCTTAGGGTTCAACCCGTTCTCATTGGTATCAATTTGTTTGCCTTTGTCGTCGTTCGTTTTAGATTTGTTAGTTGGTATTGATTGTTTGCAAGGAAAAGAAAAATGAAAGGAAAAAAAAAAGTTTTGCTTGCAGAGGAGAAGATTCCCCAGCAAATAAAAAAATGGAACTTTAACGAAAAGCACCCGGTACTGTTCACTTTAACGAAAAACCACATTTTTACACTAAAAAGTCAATCCTGGTACTATTCACTTTACCCTTTATTTTGTCCTTATCATTAAAACTCAAAGTTTTCAAGCCCTTTTCATTAGTTTTCCTATAAAAAAAAGGGGACGAAGGAGAAAAGAAGAAAAAGAAGGAAAAAAAAGAGGAACCACGGAAAGGAAGAAGAAGGAAGAAAAAAATGGGAAAAAAAAAGGAAGGAAAAAAATATGGTTGTTTTGTGGTCCGTGTATTCTTGCATTGGGCATGGTAACTTGAACTTGGAATGGAAATTTGGCATCGACATTGGTATCGGCATCGGCATTGGTATTGGCATCAGCATCGGAATCGGCATTGGAATCGGCATTGGAATCGGCATCGGCATCAGCATTGGTATTGGCATCGGCATCAGCATTGGAATTTGAAGGCTTGCATCCACATCTGCTTGTTGGCAAACTCATGTCGTCTACCGCCATGAGTTTGATAGGGGGTGTTGGAAAATATTAGTATTTTGGTTTATTTGAATGTTTGGTTTTATGGGCTTAGCCCGTTAGAATTAGGTTTTGTTAGAGATTAGGGTTAGTTTATTATAAATAGGGTGCTTTGTTATTCATTAGAGAACAAGTTAGCCACAATGTAGTCCCTTAGGGTTTTGTAACCGTTTCGACATTCTCGTTTGTTTAATAATATTCTTATTATTTGTTAGTCTTGTTCGTTGCGCACTCTGATATTTAACTTTAACTTGGATAGAGTTTGCACAAAAACACAAGAAGATTAAAACCCTTAATGCAAATATGTCACAAAATACTATATACGTGACAAATCCGAATCGGTGTTTAGGGGCATCTCTAATGAGAAAATACAAAATTTGAGAGGAAAAATCATATTTACGTTTCTGATCGATGTAAATGAAGCTATACTCCAATGAGAATGATGAAAATTTGAGATCCCATTTAATTTTGTCTCCTTGATTAGTGGGACTCACCACCAAAAGATGTAAAAAAGAATATAAATTTAAGTTTTTATTTACATCCTTCAACGAAGATGAATAATTTATATTTCGCCATTGGATAATTTTTCAGCAAAGAAAAAAATATAAAATGTCCATTTCAAAGTACTTTGAGAGATGCCCTTGAGAAGAAAAGCTTACTTACCGTTATAATTGTTTAGTAATCTGAAATAATTATTTACCGCTATGCATTTTAGAATCTATTGTGTAAATAATTATTCAATGTTATGTGCTAAAATCCAGTTATGTAAAGATATGTGATTAACTCGAGATAGAGTAGTTATAACATTCCAAATTTCGAATAATCTGGTAGTTCTCGAAACAAAGAAAGAATGAAGAAAAAAAACCTCTGAAAACAAAATGTGAAAAGGTGTAATAGTAATTTCATCACTGTATTACAATTGTTATTTTTCTTTTTTGGGCGTATTAATGTGTTGTGAGTGTATGATTTGGTGGTGAAAGTCTCTGTCTGTCTCTGTCTGTCTCTGTCTGTCTCTCTCTCTCTCTCTCTCTCTCTCTTCGCTCGAAGTCTCAAAAACACACTCCACCAGTAGCACCCGAAAACCTCGTAAACCTTTTTCTTCCATTTCATTTCTTTACCGAGTGACACGAGCGAGCGAGTTGAGAAATGGCGACTCGGTTCCCGGACGATTTCAAGTGCCCAACTTCCCTCGAAATAATGTCGGACCCGGTTATACTCTCCTCGGGTCACACCTTTGATCGGGCCTCCATCCAACGCTGGCTCGACGCCGGTCACACCCGGTTACAAAAGGGTTGATTGCTATTGCACTTGTTCAGTTCGTTCTTCTGATCCGGTGCTGCGCTTCAATCGATAGTATAACAACTGATCAAGCGATCAGGGATGGCGAAGTTCTATTCTCTAGTGGAGAAGTGTTTGAGCTTGGTTGATCTTCAGCCCCAGAAAATCTACGAACACTATGTTGGAATCTGGTATAAGAAAGATGTAGAAAAAAGAGTTGTATGGGTTGAAAACAGAGACAATCCTGTCAATGACACTTCAGGAATCCTCTCAACTGGTGCAAATGGTAACCTCTTCCTCTATGCCGAAAACCAAAGCGATATTCCCCTCTGGTCTGCCATATCCAATGTTTCAATCGCATCATTACCATCCAATTCCACACATGAGCCTAATTACAAAGCTCAGCTCTTAGATACTGGAAATATTGTGGAGGGGAAATCGAGCTCAAGACCTCAGGTGCAGGATTGAATGCTCTTAACTCAACTCAGTTACAAGCGCCATTCTTTTCACTTATGTATCTAAAATTGTCGGTTAAAAGCCTTGAACCAAGCAAGAATACAATCTAATTTACTTTGCTTACTTTGCTAGTGGGATCTTATATCTTCATCAGGATTCGAGATTAAGAATCGTCCATAGAGATCTAAAGGCCATCAATGTTCTGTTGGATTCTGTCATGAACCCTAAGATTTTAGATTTTGGTATGGCTAGGATATTTGGAGCTGAACAAATTGAAGCAAATACAAACCTTGAGGTTGGGACATAGTAAGTTTCCTTCAAAACTGAAAGTACACTTATTTTTTACAATTTTCATCCCTATGTCACAAGGCCACAAACGTGAGTACAACTTTTGTTGAATAATACAGAGAGATGCTGTGATAATTAATCACTTTTACTTTGTTGCTTCAGTGGTTATATGTCACCTGAGTACGCAATAGAAAGACTTTTTTCAGTAAAGTCCGATGTATATAGCTTCAGCATTTTACTACTAGAAATTGTTACCGACAGAAAGAACACCGGTTACTACCAAGATAGTCTTTACTTAAATTTAGAGCATAACATTAAGACATTACCAACGTTCTCTCCGTCTGCTTTTATAACTTGATGATTAATTTGTAAATGGTTTTTAGGTTTGGGACTTGTGAAAGGAAAGTAGAGCCTTGGAAATCATTGATTCATCTCTGGGAGAACCATACCCTGTCAATGAAGTTCTAAGGTGTGTTCACATTGCCCTTTTGTGCGTGCAAGA